ATGGTGTGACAGCCTGTATTATGTGTCAGCAGTACCTGGGCCCCTATTTTGGCTGGTCAGTCTCCATCTAGTTGTTAACCCTTTGACTATCATCTCTGCCTCTGCCCAGACAGGCAGAGCTACTGCAGTGCCCTCTGTGAAGGGTGAACCCCCTGAAGTGAGTTTTTACATACTTCACTTGCTCTCAGCTGGTGCACTTCCCCTCTGAGTGAAAAAGGAAAGGTCTCTTGGTTCTGGTGGCATTGGGAAGCCAGAGTAAATCTCCACGATACAGTTCAGCAGAAAACAGGGAGGGGAGGAAAGTAGGGGTTACTCAGAGTAGCTCTGGGGTGTGAAAGGAAGAAATAGGCAAGGGAACGGGAATTTAATAAATGTTGCCTTGGTCTTCACATTAAGATGTACTTTAATATCAACTGTGGGGAAAACTTAAGTTATTTTAAATCATCTGTGGCTGTACGGCTGAGCTTCTTAAATGCACATCTCCACTAGACCAGCTACGATTCAGGCTGGGTGCTCACACCTGTAATCCCAGCTACTTGGGTGACAAAGATCAGGAGGGTTGTAGTTTGAGACCAACTCCGGCAAAAGGTTAGCAAGACCCCACCTCAACAACAACAAAAAAAACTAGGGCATGGTGGTGCACACCTGCCATCCCAGCTATGCAGGAGGCATAAGTACGAGGATTGTGGTCCAGGCCAGCCCCAGCTAAACCACAAGATCCTGTTCGAAAAATAACTAAAGCAAAAGGGCTAGGGCTGTGGCTCAAGCAGTAGAGCACCTTCCCAGCAAGTGTGAGGCCCTGAGTTCGAAACCCAGTACAAAACTAAACAAAACAACAGAAACCTGTGATTCACAATTTGCAGAAGAATTCCACTGTGACCTTAGAACAGTCCCAGTGTGTGCCCTCAAGGCTACATCTGGACTACTTCCCAGGTCACTCAACCTAACTCCTCCCCACCCCTTACTCTAAATGCTACCATAGCCCTGCAGTTTTCCCCCATTTTTCTCCCCAAAGCAACCCAACTGGGTATCGTTTTCTCCTCTGACATCCATCATAGCAGGTCTTTCCCACTATGGCAGCCATCACCAATGCCTGTGTGTAACCGGGCAGCTGCTCGGCTCCCAGGCTGCCCAGCCAGTCCTCCTGGTAACCGCGTCAGGGGCACAGGGCTGTCTGCTGCTCATCAATCTTGTTGTTTTTGTAAATTTATGACTTTGTAGAAGTTTACTTTCTAAAAGTGAGGTTGAGTTAGGTTTTCAGGGAAAGGTTAATATGGTCTTTCAGGTTACTTTATCCAAAAAGTGATTACTACACAACGATTTCCTTTCACTGGGCAATGTAGCTCACACCTATAATCCTAGCACTTGGAAGGTTGAGGCAGGAGGATCTCAAGTTTGAGGCCATCCTGGGCTACACAGAGAGATTATGTTTCAAAAAATTGTTTTTTTCTCTTTTTTCTTAGTTTTAGGGTATGGCTCAGTGGTAGAGTGCTTGCTTAGAATGTGCAAAAGTCCTGTCCCTAGGACTGCCAAAAAAAAAAAAAAAGCCATTTTTTATACAAGAGAGCTAGTTTATGCTTTCCCTAAGATAAGGCAATGGGTTAAATATTAAACAGATTTTAAATGGTTCAGAAAATTCTGAGGCAACAATTTCATGATCACTTAGATCAATTAGGACTTTAGTCTTTCTTTTTCTCTTCTTTTTGTCTTTTTGCAATGCCTGGGATCAAACCCAGGGCCTTAAGCATTCTGGGCAAGCACTCCCCCACACGCTGGGTCACACCCCGCCCCATAAGTTTCTTAATAAAATGGAGGTGTGCTGAGATTGGATTGGATCTGTTCCCGCTCCTCACGTTCCCTGCGTCTGTTTGGCGACTGTGGGGATCCAGGTGTGTGTGGAGAGGGGCTCCAGGTGATGTCCGTGGGCTGAGTCAGCTGTGCATCTGCAGAGCGTGGATGCTTGTCCTTCATTCTGTTTTCTCCCATGTTCATGTCTGAGCAACCATCTGTCATTCTAAGCCATTGAGGACCACCACACAAGTAGCCTTACACACACAAAATGTCCCTGCACGTTTATGTGAGGACAGAAACATAAAAAGAACTGCTGCTCCCCCCAAGGATGGGATGCCAGCAGACACACTGGATGTGCTACTTAGCTCTCCACTGCTGACACAAAATACCTGAGGTAGATAATTTAAAAGGAGGAGAATGTTTATTTTGGCCACAGTATCAGAGGTTTTAGTTCATATTCAACTGGCTCCATGGCTTTGGGCCATGGGTGAAGTAGAGTCATGAAAAGGATGCAGAGAACACGGGACAGAGCAGAGATGTTCACCTCATGGTAGCCTGGAAGCAGAGAGAGAAGAGAAGAGGAGAGGAGGGGAGAGCGGAGGGGATGAGAGGGAAGGGGACAAGAGGAGAGAAGAGACCAGGGTCCTAGTGTTCTGCCACAAATGACCTAAGTTTCTCCTATTAGGCTACTTCCTGGAGACTCCACCACCTCCCAACAGCACCACAGGCTGATGACCATACATGGCCTTTGCGGGTCATTTAAGATCCAAACCATGACACTGGACATCTGCACACCAACCACCATTCTGCCATCTGCAAACACACTTTATCCAAACTGCCTCCCCATGTAAGGGCCATTTTTATATCCTATGTCTGGGATGTTGGAACTTCCCTGCTGAGCTATAGGGCCACAGGTCTCCCGGGGAGACCCTTGTAGATTTCAACCCAGGACTAGAACTGTGGAAACTGAACAACAGCAGGCGGCCAGGTGTGAAGGAGGCCATCCCCATCACACTTGGCCTTGAACTTAAGGGAAGCATTGCGGACACAGCCACAAATAAGAAGCTGACTCTCTGAAAGACTCTCACAGGGAGCGAGTGTTAGGAAGAATTGACAGGATTCCAAGAAACCCAAACAAAATGGTCACTGCCTTGACTGGTAAAAACCACGGGCCCCAAGGCGCCTGGTAGATGCTCCGTTTCTGCTGAGGCCAGTGACACCCACTGCTGGCATATGGCATCTGCCTTGTTCTAAAGATCACCTGACAGAGTCTCACTCAACCCTTCCTCACTTGGGACCTTCTTCTTCAATCGACTGCAGTTTTGCCCCCATTTCCTCATGATTATCTGCATTCTAAAGCTACTTCCTCTTTCTTGGGATGAAATTTCAGATCTCTGATTATGGAGGTCCTTATTTGTCACAGTTTGGTGGCTCACCAGGGTCTATTCCCCCATTTTCCCTGTCTCCATGCTCTAAGTGTCTCCACCGTTCCCCAGGTTTTTATTTCAGGATGATCCTACCTAAGGATGGAGAGACCTGGATGTGGCATTTCCTGTGCATTGGATCAACAGGAGTCTGGAGCATGCTTCTAACTTCTGGCCCCAGGTTTGCTGTCTGATAAAAGAAGGGTCACTTAATCTGAAGTTCTTTCCTCCTAGCGAGTCCCCCAATTTCAGAGGCTCCCTAAGATACTTCCTAGGAAAGACAGAAGGGGAGTTTGGATTCAGTAAGCTTTTTGGGCCCTGGGGTAACTAATATGCCCTCAAATAGATCAGAAAGAACATAAATCAACATACAAGAGAGATGATTGCACACCCATGTTTATAGCAGCACTATTTACAATAGCCAAGATATGGAACCAGCCAAAGTACCCCAAAACTGATGACTGTAAAGAAAATGTGGTACATATAAACCATGAAGCATTATTCAGCCATTTTCAGGAAAACAGATCATCATGTCAAGCAAGATAAGCCAAGCTCAGAAAGAAAAAGATCACGCTTTTGCTCATATATAGGATCTAGATCTTTAAAATATAATATGACATGATTATAAAAGAGGGACTCTTTGGGGTGTGTATTGGGGGAAACCAGCAAGTGAGAGGAGGGGGAAGGGAGAGGGTTCAAGAGGTGAATATCAGAGAAATACATTGTATGTATGAAAATAGCACAGCAAAACCACCAAAAACTGTTAAAAAGGAGAGGGGAAGAGGAAGGAAGCTAGGAAGAGTAATATAATGGGGGTGAATTTTATCAAAGTATATTATATGCATGCTATAAATAACACACTGAAAACCCCTTGTGCAATTAATTTATGGTAATAAAAATTTAAATTAAAAATAAACAGAAAGAAACTCTGTTTCCTATCATCCACCCCCATGGTGGAGGAATGTCAGGGGCTGGGCAGTGGTCATAGGCAGAGTTTTCCTGTCCTGTGACTTCTCAGGATTTTAGGTGACACAGATTAAAAAGGGATGCAGTTGCCAGCTACCTGGAGACGCAGGCTACCCAAGACCCTTGGCAAAATCCACCTGTGGCCTGCAGGACTGGAGCTGTAGCTGAGGAGTAGTAACCTGTACGTGGTGGCAGAATCGCCGCCCCCAGCACATGTACACTCTCATCTGGGGAGGTCAGCGTCTTCTTCGAGACTTCCTTTGTCAGGACCGTATTTATTGTTACTTATCTTTTCATGGGTTTGTATTTTATCCTTCCAAGATACAAGAACAATATGCAAAGATAGCTTCTGCATCCACCATGAGACCTTCTGCTCCTTTGTGTAATCTGATTGATGCCATGAGACACCTAAATGTTTAGGATAAATTATCATTGAATTGAGTCATAGAACATATTTTTCGGAGACTTTTTGTATAACCTGCATCCTTAATTTGCCTGAAAAGTTGACATTTGAAGTGGTTTTATTACCATTAAAGGTGGCCCATCCATGTGTAAGATAACTAACCCACAGGACTGTTACTCCTTTATGGGTGATGGGAGAGGAACCGTGGGACAGGCTGGCTCACAATGAGAAAATGACCTGCTCAGATGACAGGAGGTGATGGGCCTCCTGCCCCATGACCAGTGTCCTCTGTTGTCAGTTCCTTACCTGTGCTGCAACCAGCCGTGATCCTACCACGGGCAACCCTTTCCTGAAGTGCGCCTGTCTGCCCACCTCAGCACCCACCTGAAACAAGCGTGGGGGCGGCAGCTGCTCACCTTCACACTTGAGCAAGAAAAAGTCCATACTGTGGCTGAAGGAAGCACTGAAGTAGGTGCAGTTCTCCACCAGGTCACAGGACAAGCACTGTCTGTTGAAGTTGCCCACTGTGTTGGCACTGGAAGAGCAAAGGGTGCAGGATCTCAATGGTCAATGTCTGGATCCCACTGGGTACTGACATCTCTCCTAGAAGACCCTTGCTGCTTGCCCCTGGCCTTGTTCTCACCAGTCTCCCCACTCAGATTTCCAGCTCCACTCCCCGGAAGCCCTCCCGACCCATAGGGCCCCTCCCACTTTCTCAAGATGGCTTGGTACTTTTGCTGCTACTTGGTCATCAGTGGCGCTGTGGCTCTGCATGTGGCCTGGGGTGACTGCTACTGTCACCTCATGCTTTCCATCCATGTGTATTACTCTCCAAGCAATGACTAGCAATTTGAGAACACTGAGAGATTTGAACACCTCCTGATTGTTTGAGTGCCAAACACTGATGTGTGACAGGCAGAAGCTCCAGAAACATCAGTGGAACTAACCTTGGCTTTTCCAGACCCCAATTTTCCTACAGTAAAATGGAGGTGACATTGCTTCTTCCTCAATGGACCTAGTGAATAGGAATCTATTTAAAGACAACCCCCTGCCCAACCCCGGGGCCACCCTTTTTCATAATCAGGTGAAGAAGGCCAACGGGTTTCCAAAAACCAAAAGATGCAGCAGTGCCTGCAGCCCTGGAAGAATTTCTCATGTGTGCACTGTGCCTGGGAACTCTAAGCACAGTTTCCAACATGGGGCTTGTCTTTGTGGGAGAGAAAAGACAAGCTTCTAATACTTTCTGTTATGGGAAATGCTCACAGACTACCTTCTTGCTTGTTATAAGTTTGGTGGCCTGGCTGATTTCTATGATCCTGGTGAACATGGGGTGATGAAAAGTTGAAAGAGAGGCAGATCTGTGATGGTAAACACTTGCCAGAATTCCTCCCCCTATGCCAGCCTTATGCTGTCAGCACAGAGTCCAGTGGATGGAGGACAGACCTTGTGCACCAGGGGCTCTTTGAACATCTCCACAGTGGGGGAGAGGGCCAAAGGCATTGGCTTGATCCAAACTTTGAGGCACTGCCTCAAGCCCTGTGGTCTACACTGCATGGTGCCCTTTTCATCAGCCAGGGCTGCAGCCCTCCTTCTAGTTGGGAAGCATGCAGAGGTGCCCATCATCCCTCTTCAGCTCTGCCATGCTTGTAGGAAGCACCCAGGGTTAAGTTCACTTCAAAGGTCGAAACCTCCTCCCGTGAGAAAAGGAACTGGGCAGCAGTGAGATTAAATGCTGAGTGGGAGAGGATCCAGTCCCTCTCCAGGGTTCTGAGCCTGTCTACCTATCCTTGGCTTTCCTTGACATGCTGGGACTCACACACAGTCACACAGCAAGTGCACAGCAGTGTCCCCTTGTTGGGGAGGCCACTGGTGGATTTCCAAGCCAGACTCTGCTGTCCTTGAAACACCTGGGTGATTTTCCTCCGAAGACCAGTAGAAGCCCGTCAGTTATTAAGAGGAGAAAATAAGGCAGAACTCAATCCAACAAAAGCAGAAAAATGAAACACGGATTTGGGGCTGGTGGCCTCAGCACTTTTCATTATTTATTTCCAGGCTTTACAGCTCCCCAGCTTTCCTTGCTGCCTCCCCCACATGCTGCAAAGCTGCAATTCTGCAAGTGTCGGGGGACTAGGGTAAAGGGAAAGGTGGCTGAGCCAGGCTACCTGTAGAGCTGACGTCTCCGAGGCAGGTCCTCCGTGCTCAGGAAGTAGCTACAGAGACAGCGAAGGCACACCGGTTAGTCTGTCCCTGGACACTTCTGTACACCACATGCCCCCACCTTCTCTGTGCCTCTCGGGGACTGCCAGTGTTCTATGGCCTATGCAATGAGCAAGGATCCTATTCAGGTCCAGCCACACCTGCGGCCATACACCTACATGTGGGGGTACACAGTGGCACAAGGGCTTTCGGCTGAGCTGCCTCCTGGCTGGCCTTTGCTGCAGAGCTGCAGGGCCCATTGCAGGGGGTGAGGATGGGGATGACGGATTTAGATGTGGGAATTTCTTTACTAGAGTGGTCACCATCAGGAGGACAGGAACTCGAAGACACTTTACATGCATCCAGCCTGGCACAGTGAAGACCTGTCCACTGATTTTCACTAGACTCAGAAGCTCCTATGGAATGAGCAGGGAGACTGCTCCAGGCAGGACTCAGGCATGGACTCCCACTGTCCTAGCTCCTCTTACCAACTGAATAACCTGGAGACAATTTTTTTTGTGTCTTTGTTTATTTATTTTAAAAGCAGGAAAGCAACAAGCCTTCCTCATATAACCATTGTGCGACGCGATGTTCAGCCCGTAAAGCTGGCAGCATGGTGTCAGAATGAGCAGAGGCTCATTAACTTGCGGTTCCACAACCTCCACCCCTGCTAACTGTGTCACCTCACAGGTTTGTGCAGTGTCTCTCTATCACAGTGCCTGGCAGGTTTGGAGGCTGGGCTGTTGAGACAGCACGAGGAAGCTAGGAGCTATTGATGTCTGGGAGGAAGAGGCCTTCTGTGCTGTCTTTTGCACTCAGTGAACATAATTTAACTAGAAATGACAAGTGGGTTTTGTTAGACAGTCAGAAGGGGCCTGGGGGAATGGCCCTGCTTCTCACTCACATCTTATCTCGCTTCTCATCGTAGGACAGGATCTTGGTCACGTCCCAGTCCCCGGAGGTGATGGACTGGATGTTGTCATTGCTGCTGTTCGGCTGAAACACAGACAAGATGTCAGGAGCGAGATGCTGGGCCCTAGCTTTGGCCCTTTATCCTCTTATCTTCAAGTGCTTCAGGGACAAGGCAAAGTTTGCCCTCCAGCCTGCTCCTCTCTGGGGGCACGGCTGGCTTGAATCCAGTGTCCTCTGTGATACTCTGCTGCCCACCCTGCCCTGCACATCAGTGATGGGGAGTTGTCCCCTTCTGTGGTGCTCATCCCTGGCACCCCATCCCAATCCCTCCGACTGTGATACAAGCATCTTACGATGAGTCAAGGTTTCCTGCACTGCCAACAGTGTTCCTTTCACATTAGCGAGTCTAACAGTGGCATCCTTACTGAACGGTCTGGGAGGGAGGGAGGGAAGAGAGAATGGGACAATGGATGAAACCAGGAAGGGCAGCTCTTATGTCACTCACTCCCATCCTTCTGAGGACCAGTTGGAGCCATGTTACTGAGTCCTGTGCAATTCCCACATGCTCTCTCTCTCTCTCTACCTCCCAGAGTCACACAGCATGATCTCTACATGGATCATTGTAGGAGGAGCGAGGTGGGTGGTGCTTCTAGTGATGGCAGCTGTTTGGGTGGAAGGTAACTTTGGTGCCAGGTGGAGGCCAATCCCTGGGGCTGGAACAGGGTGTATGTGTGAGAAGCTGGGGATGGAAGTGGATTCGGGAAGGGAGTGAGGCCTGTGGTGTTGCTGGGCTGGGAAGCAGAAGGCCAGGGAAGGGCTCTACTTCCTCATAGATGCTCACTGGGTTCTCAGCAGGAGCTGAGCACCTGGACACATTCAGAAATTTTTATATGGTTTGAAATGACCTCAAATGAGAAAGTGAAGGATTCTGTGGCTTTGGAATGAAGACCATAGGAAAACTTTTCAGGCCTTCTATAAGGCAAGGGATTAAGTATCTCCAACATGAAAACATTGGTGCCTCAGCCCAGAAGTGACCAGGGTCTCTCCCTCCCTTCCTCCTCCCCACAGCTGCTGAAGGGGCAATGATGTTGGTGTCTTTCTTTCAAAATTGCTTTTGGCCACATTGCAGACATAAGCCTCCTGCTCATCTCCCAAGAATGTTTGGACTCACCTTTTTCCTAATCAGATTTTATTCACCTGTCCTGATCCCAAGTAACTGTAGACGGCTTCAAAAATCTAACCTGCACAGGAGGGATGGGGCTGGTGATCGTGATATGTGTCAAGTACAAGCCTCACCTGTCACCTTCTGTCTCAGGAGATCCCAGTACCTCCAGGATCACCTGTGAGGGGCTATTATCTACCAGGTGTCCACCTGGGGTCTAAGTCCATGACGTTAATGTCTGAGGGCCCTGCTCGGTGACACTGGTTCTCTACCCACCAGCTCCAGAAGAGGTGAGCTTGAGTGGCAGCTATCATATCATAATTAAACACCTGTCCCTGGTTGAAGGTGGAAGGGAGGCCTGTGGTGGAGTGATGCTCCTGAGGGACCCAGGGCACTGGGCAACACTGAAGTGGAAGGAGGGTGATGGGGAGAAGGAAAAGGCAGATAGGCACTCAACATCCATCCAAAGTCCGTGGCCTTACCTAACCACAGTCCCAGTGTCCCCTGGGCTGTCTCCAGCAGTGCCCCATTCTCATATGTGTGCTTTCGAGCATCAACAGAAAGAGCAAAACCCGGCCACTGCCCGCTCAGAACCTCTGCACCTGGACAAGTGTTGTGCTCTACCTGCCAGGAAATCCAGGCCAGCAGCCTTGGAAACCAGCAGATTTACCTGGGATGACGACACCATGATGTGATAGAATTTTCCTCGTCCTCCCTGTGGGATGGCTCTGACAAAGAAAAGCTTTCGGCCATCCTTGGAGAACACGGGCTCTTCATTCTGTGAGCAAAGGTAACGGGCCAAGTCATACAAAGCACCATTTTAGTTTGTTTTGCAGTGCAGGGGATCACACTAGGGGCCTTGTGCATGCTAGGCAAGCACGCTCCACTGAGATCCATCCTCCGCCCTTCCATTTTATTTTGGAGAGAGTGAGCAGGAGGAAGAGCATCGTGAGTCAAACCTTTGGGGAGCCAAGAGGGCAGAGCAGATAACCAGGCCTCTGTTAGTCTGCAAAGTGCTAATGCACAGATGGATGTGTGTGTTCACCAAGCAGCTGAGCTGTGGGGAGCACAGAGCTGAGCTCCCCAGGAACTTGAAGCTTCCACAGAGGAACATGATTCTGACAACAAAAACCCCAATTTTGCCACCTTTCAATCTTTTCTTTAATATAGTCTATCTCTCACTGAATAGCCCATTAAGAAGACAAGAAAAAAGAAAAAGAAGCCACAAAGACAAATTCTATATACCCCAAAATGTACACAGAAGGGAAGAACTGGTCCTGGGGCTCTCTCTCACCAGAACGGTTCAACATAAGGCAGTCAGTGAACGGTGCTAGCTTGGAGCGACTGCCGCTTTTCCCTGGAAACCCCAGCATTCCAGTCTTTCTTCTCTGGCGATGGGGTTCCAAGCTGGATTTAAGACTGCAGGAGTACAACATCTCTCTGCCTAGCCCCCAAATATCAAGCAGCAAAGTGCCTGCCCTCCAGCCAGCCTCAGCAGGGTGATTGTCGCTTTCATGGGCTATAGGGGATTTTGCAACGACCAGCATTTCTCTCTCTCTGAAGCTCAAGTTTGGAAGTTTCCATCCATGAACACCAATTAACTGGGTATGATATATATTTTCTGATTCAAGGAGCTCTCTGCTAAGGCAGGGTGGAGAATGAACGGTAAACAGGCCCAGCTGGTACAGGGAACGAGTTTCCCCCTAGTGAACGGACACATGCAAATGTGGTATGCCCAGAGAAATAAACTAACATGTGATTAAAATGACATTTAATCCTCATGAATATTTGCAATAAAATGAAACCTTTAATCTGCAAATATTGAATTTTCTATTTAGAGTTGGAAGCATGGTATTTAAAAGGAGAGGGGATGGAAAGACCAGTTGTTAATTTGGTTTTGTCAATGTCCTTCTGTTTGCCACCACAGATGGAGAAGGAGAAACCCCCTAGTGTTCAGGGGGAAATGTTTGCACTTTTGGAAGAGATTAAAAGTAATATAATCAATTCTGGCCAGAAGCATTGCTCATGAAGAGCAGGCCTTGACTTCTGGCATCACCTCTCCATCACCCTCTGCATGTCTTCCGCAGTGCCCTGGGGAAGGCATCTGCCTTTGAGCCTCTCAGAGACTCCACTTCTCACATAGCAAATGTATTCTTAGTGACAAAGTGAAGGGCTTTTTGACTAGGGGAGCAGGATTTTAAGCCTGGCCTTGCCTCTCACTTGATTTTGGGAACCATTTCTAGTCTGCCTGATGTGATGCCTGGTTTGCACAGCTCCATCCATGGCAAGTCTATGAGGATGGGAGCTTTTTCTTGGTGAGATTCTTCCCCAGCTCTTTGGAGCAGTTCTGCCAGTTCTTCCCATGGTTCATACACATGCATCTGGTCTGACCTTCCAGCCCCAAATTCGAAATCACAAGACCAAAAATCTGCATAAAGAAGGAAGATAGTAAAAAATGGACTCATAGAATGAGCTTAACCAAAGTGACAGCTCTGGGTCTACCCCCAAGGGAGCTGGTGCTGGTGGGGCTCTCGTGGACCTGCATCACCACCAACTTTCCAGTTTCGGCGGCAGCGGCGGGTGTGTATTCCTAGAATATTCCTAGAGCAGAGGAAACGGTGGGTGTCCACACACTTAGTCTCCTCTTCTTTTTGGCTCATGAGGAATCTCTGTGAACCTCATGCTGAGAATCCAGGAAGGAGGTGGGAAGAGAAGAGTGGGAGATGGAACTCAGGGATTATGTGGAATCTGTAGACTACTTTGGGCAGTATGGGTGTCTCAACACTGCTCTTTCAATCCACAGACACGGGACATCTTCCCATTCATGCCTTTTTTTCAATTTCTTCCACCAGTATCTTACAGTTCTTAGTGTTCAAATCTTTCACCTCTTTGTTCAAATATATTGTTATTTTTTTTTTTTTCTAGCTTTGCAAACGGGCTTATTTTCTTGATTTTTTAGATAAGTTTCTGTTCATATTCAGAAATGCTACTGATTTTTGTGTGTTGATTTTGTATCTTCTAATTTCACTGACTTCATTTGTTAATTCTAGCAGGTTTTTTTTGGTGGAATCTTTAGGACTTACAACGTTTAAGATCACGGGACAATTTCACTTCTTCCTGTCTAGTTTGGATGCCTTTCATTCTTTTTCTTGCCTGACTGCTCTTGCTGGGACTTCCAGCGCTATGTTGAATAGAAGTGTGGAGGGGGGCATCCTTGTCTCATTCTTCATCTTAGAGGACAAGCTTTCTGCTTTCCATGATTGGGTTTGATGTTAGCTGTGTGTTTTTCATATATGGCTTTGATCATGATCATTGTCTGCTCTGATTCCCAGTTGTTGATTGAACACATGACAAAGGATTTTTAAAAATGATTCTTTTTTTTTCCGATCTATCAGACATAGTGTAGACAAGATGAACATCATTGTTCTTGATGCCGGTGCTTTCATGTTGGTCCAGGTTGCATTAAGAACTTCCAGCTAGCAGTATCTCCTAGGTTACCTCTCACTGTTGATTCCTTGTTGGCCTGGACTTGGCACCCAAATGTGGACAGAGAGAATCACTGGGCTCTTCTTTTGGATAAGATTGGCACGGAGCAGAAAAATGATTTATTTAAAAGTAACAGTGCCCATTTATGAAGCTCCACCTGTGATAACGAACCGAGGTCATTGACCGATGACTGGTAATTCCACAGATAAACAAGGGTACAGTAGTGAGAGAGCTAGAATGTTCTTGGAGGCCATGGCTGAGAGTTGCATTGTCCAGCTTGACTTCTCCTCTGTGGGGTCCACCAAATCAATTCCAAAGCACAGCTGTGCCTCTTCATCACAATTCTTGAGGCGCAAATCTAGCTTGACTTTTCCCACAGAATTTGAAGACAGTTTTTATTCCTTAGGTGGACTAGGAGGAGAGTAAACCCCCTAAACTCTCTCAATTGTTCTTTCTAATGCACGAGTGTGGATGAGACAAAAAGAACTAAGAGAAAACACCAGTGCTGAGTGCTTTCATTTGTGTATAAATTAATTTTTTAAACAACTGTTGCCATAGGCTTCTCCTGATGTGTGTTAGACAAGCCTTGTACCTCTAACTCCCCCGACCCCCAACCTCTTTTAGTCTCTGGAGCCTCTACCCTGTCTAACTCTCCTTCTGTAACTGAGTTAGGGAGAAAAATTCCTGGCACAGTTCTGAGGTCACGTCCCTGAGAAGGGTCTGACTGCATCACAGTGGCGTTGCTTTAGAGGATATCCATGAAGTCATGGATTAACAGGACTATCAATCTCATTTTCCTTATCTTTTACCATCATGGTTTACATCTGGGCAACCTTCACCAACTCATTTTGACTTCACCAAAAGACATCATCTGACTGAGAACAGAGGTCTCTCTAAACACTGTCCTGAGGAGCAGGGATTTAAACTATCCTCCTGGGAACTCACTTCTGCAGGAGTGCCTGTGGGAGGGGGCTTCCGAGGAGAACACAGAAGAGATGGGTCATCAGCCTCTGCCCCGGTCCCCCAGAGCCACACGCACTTATCTGGTCCTATCAGGGGATCCCTGAGTGACTTCACTGGAGAGCTCCGCCCCTGCAGTGGCCGGGTGGCTCAGGGTGAGATGAAGGTGAGGACTTATCACGGAGTTACCTGTCTGTGGAGCCATGCTTCGCTTTCATCCTCGTGTTTCTGAAATGAAAGAAAAGCATTAGAAAAGGGTTTTTGCAGGCACTGTGTCTATGGCCAACAGTGCAGAAAACAATTTATCTTCTCCTACACAGAGGCTGCACATGCACAAAGCAGCTGCTGTGGCTTGCTCATGGGGGAGGTAATCCTTGCTCTCCTCTTTCCTATTGTGGCACAGAGTGAGCATGAGTGTCCCCGGGCAAGAAGAATGCCACTATCCCTATAGCAACAAGGACAATCTGTGGTGTGAAGGAATGCTGTGGAAGACGGTGGCATTTCTACCACTTGTCAGTCCTCACTGGCTGGAAGTGTGCCCACTTGGTGGTCACCACCTGCCAGCGTGTGCACCTGGCAAGCTTCAGAGGACTTGTGTCTGTGCACATGGACATTGCGTCAACTCTAAGGAGCAATCTGGAAATCAAAACCCTTTAAGAGGGGTTAATCATGTATGAAAGTAGAGCTTACAGAACTGCATGCAAAGATGTACAACAAAACAGAAATAAAACCAGAACACCAGGGAGCAGCCGCTCTGCTCCGGCCGTGAGGTTCCAGGCACTGTTCATGCTGGCTGACCTTGGCCCTGTAGGCCATAGGCAGGACAAGCTTGGGTGGCTGACAGGCACAGGACAGGGCACAGAGGCGATGGGGAAAGGCAGTAGCTCCCAGCAGCCTGGCTCTGTATCCATGCCTTCCTTCCTTCCCATCAGAATAACTCAGATTCCCCTCCAAATGATATGCAAGGGAGGAAACCCTAACCAACTCAAGGACCCGGGTCTCAGGAGCAAATCTGTGAAACTTGCCTGAGAGCCACCACCCCTGGGCAGCGGGGTGAGAGCCACTGTGGCGGGGGGGGGGGGGCAGGCAAGTGGCAAGCCTTTCTCCTCTGGGTCAGGAAATAGAAACTTAGGGTCAAAGACAGTTTCTCAAAGACCCGCCTGAGAGCGCTGGTGGATCTTTTAAACTCAACACGAGGTGACTGACCTGCTTCTTAGGGCAGCAATGTGGCCCATTGCCTGCGGAGTGGAGGGGCAAATCCCCACCCTGGCGGGGTGAACTGGGATGCTCTCCTGCTCTGCCAGAGGGCAGGCCTTTCTTTAGCCTTTTGTTCTTCTTGCCCTGCCTTTGCAGACCTTTCATTCCCTTTCCTGTGTCTGCCTCCTCTAACTCCACACTGTCACATTGGTCCCCAGGCACATTCAGGGTTTCCCCAGGGGATCACCCCACGTGGGAGGAGAGGCACCTGGTTCTGCGGTAAATGTGGGTCACCTGAGGCTGAGCACCGACTGCAGCTGGGATCCTTCTCTTCTGAGAGTCAGCTGGACCAGGAGATGCTCGCACACCCCGTACTTGCAGCAGAACCTGATTTGTCCACCAGGTGGCACCAGCAGCACCAACTGAGCGCTTTGCACATCTGAAGCCCAAGGGGCTGGAAGTGACATTCACAAAAGCTGCTGCCTTGGACGCTGCCAGACATCGCCCCCAACCCCGCCCCCCTTACCTTAGTGCAGACCCCTGTGGTGGCGTCGCAGAGGGTCAGGATGGACATGTTTTGCGCCCGGTTCAGCCAGGTGACCGCGACTTTGGTACTGGTGGCCCACTTCACCATGGTGATATAATATTCTCTGGAAACACGCAACAGAAGGAGCAGGTTGGTGGGATCCTGCGGGAGATTCTGCAGGAAGCCAGGAGACCATCACATCCCAGCCTGGATATAGCGGCCAGTGGCTGGCGTGGTGCGTGGGTGACAGGGACACCCGTGAGGCACTGAAATGAGGTTTATCAATAACGCACAAGTGGATCTCCCACAGGTAGCAGGTGCTCCTCAACCTTCAGGGTCACCTGTCCCCATACGGCCCACCATGTGTGTGGCTGAGCCCCTGAGGGGCGCAGTGGGTTATTGAGGTTACACACCCCAGTGATGGTGCTCCACGGATTTCGGTCTCACCCCACAGTCCACAGCAAACACACAACTCCAGGAAACCCCACTCAGTGGGGAGGTGGGGGAGAGGGAGGGCAGAGAAGGAGCCAAGCAGGGGAAGAGGGAAGGGGAGGCAGCAACTGGGAACAAGGGCTGCCCAGGAAGAGGCTGCTGGGGAACAGAGGCTTGGGTTGCTGCAGGTTGTGTTCTTTTTCCCTCAGGGACACTCGTCACCTAATTAGGGAAACTGGTTCACAGCCTTGGGCTTGTGAGGAACTCAATTTGATATTCTGTGACACACGCTTGATTTGCCCAAACCTGAAAATACCATTGTCCTCTGAACCACCCTGGTTTAGCAAGGAGGAGTGCTGGGGCTTCTTGTGATTGCGTCTTTCTCCCAAAGCCCTCCAAAAACTGTGTTACAGTCTACATTTAAGAGGAAGAAGAAAATGTCAAGAAAATAAGTGCCCCAAATGAATAGCCCCAGATGAATTTCCAGAATGTTCTAGAAGCCAGCTAACATTTGTTCAATCTCCGCTTCTGTCTCTATCTATAATGAGATCGACTGTTCAGAATGATTACTTTGTGGTCTTACAAGATCTTTTATCACCAAAGACTGCGGTGCAGTCACCAGACAATTCCTGGCAAGCTGGAGAGCAGCCTCACCACATTGAGTAATTATGTTCGACAGAAAGGACTAAGTAACCAGGTGCTTTGAACAAAGCCCAAATTAACCAGGTAATTAAATTGCTCAGTGTCTCCCGTTCCCCAAAGCTACCTGTTAGTCAAAGTCTTCAATAACTGAACTGAGATCAGGGGGCACGGGCACAAGACCAGCAGTTTCCATGCAGAAGGCCTCTGGCTCAGCATTTGGGTGGCAGGGGTCGGAGGGGTCCTGGCACTGTCCACTGCACTTCTGGGGGACTCATGGGGGATGTGGTGGCAAGGGCCAGCCTAAATCTATAAGCAAAGGAAGGAGCAGGCCTAACCAGCTTTCATGAATTCAACCTTCCTAGTTCTGAGAGTTCTGAAATGTGGCCATTTCTGCTCATGTCATCTGCCCCAGCCTGCAGGCCATGGGTCTGGGCATGGTGTTTACATTCCCCCGTTCTCCATCTTGCCCCTGCTCTGAGAGGCAATGTGTCCTTTCAGCCACATTCCTCAAGGTCCTGCTTTCCTGTCTGTTTCACTGCCCCAGGGCAGGGAGCAGCATTTATAATGATTTGGTCCTCTTGAATAATTGTAGGAATACAAATTTTTATTTCACTTGGGTCCTTACAAATATTTCAAGATCTGTGTGTAGCCTCTGCTTCACAGTGAACACTTTGTATCTTTAGTGGCGTCATAGCTGGTCTTGGGGTTCACAGTGGATGGAGATCAGCAGCCCGAAGGCCCCCGGGGGGTGAGCAACTGCTGCTGACTGCCCTGGCACTGCAGCTGTATGCTCCCACATGCAGAGTGTAGATATGAAGCCACACAGTAACCAGAACTTGCTGCCAGCAGCATTGCATCCGTGGGAACAAGCACGAGCTCCTGGGACCTTCCCCATGACCTTCACACTGCTGAGGATGACTCTGTTTTCTTGGCCACATTCATCCCATGCCTGAGTTTATACGGTGTTCTACACAAGTCATCTGTCAGACAAATCTGATTACCCATTATTACCGACTTCTCTGTCTCCTCACTGAGTATGTGAAGCATCATGAATGGGAATAGATGGATGAATGCAACTGTCTTGCTTCGTAACAAGTTTCTTAGCAACACCCCTGGACTAAATCATCGAGAAACACCACCAACCTGTGCAACATGGACGGCTTGTGGTGGGCTGGGCGGTGTGGCATTGCCAGCAATTGTACAGGCAATGTGACCATTTTGTTGTTCACTTTTGAAGTTCTTGGTCACACAACGTGGAAGGCAGGGGCAAGTCTGCCTCACAGAGGGAGAGCAAGGCCAGGGCATCACCTAAAGAGGCTTGCTACTTCTAGAAGTGGCAACCACACTGTTTCTTCCTCTGAGCACTGCGAAAAATGCCCAGTTAGATAAAGTGCGTGGTATAGGCTCTCTAGTTTTTACTTTCCTGGGTTGTACTACGAAGCATGTTACAGAGGAAAAGAGTAACTGTGGTAACAAGTAGGACGGTTAGGTGTGGACCCACTCTGCCCAGTTCACCTGGGGCCTGGGCTGGGGTGGACCATCACCCTGTGTGAAGAGGTGGAAGATGGCTCATCCTGGGCCTTCGAGGGCTTTTGTTCTATAACTAATTTCACATGCAACTCAAACCCTTGGTTTCTTCAGTTGTGCAATGTTAGTTTTAAAAAAAAGATGGTACTTTTAGAGATTTTTATGATGATGAATATACTTTTGACCTTGTAGGCAGTGACACACATCTTCCGACTCTCATCAGAACAGTCTTGGAGCCCTTTGCCCTGACTCGCCCTCAGCACTTTACAGTGACCTCATTTCTTGTAGCAACATCTCATCTCTAATCAATGCTTCCTGATTCCACAAAACTGCATCAATGACTAGACTTGGGACCAAATAAATTTTCATTATATTTTTTAATAAAACCAAATCAAGATAGGTACGGCGGTACACACTTAAAATCCCAGCTACTTGGAAGGTGGAGGCAGAAGGATCATAAGTTCAAGGCCAGCTGGGAAAAGGTAGTGGTGAGACCCTGTCTGAAAAACAGAAACAAAAGGCCTGGGGTGGGGCTCAAGTGGTAGAGTGCTCGCTTAGCATGCCAAGGCCCTGGGTTCCATCTCCAGTGCTGGGAATCTTCCACCCCTTGTATGGCCACTAATGAGCAACAGAGCCAGAAACAGCACTTTACGTTTTTTAAAGCAGTGCTGGGGTTTGAACTCAGGGCCTTGTGCTTGGTAGGCAGGTGTTCTACCACGTGAGTCCCACGTCCAGTCCAGTGAACAGCATCTTGATTCTGAGGGTTGTCACTTAGGCGGAACGTTGTTCTCTGGCTGGGTAAGGTTTGTAGTCATCACATTCGCTAATGGGAAGTAAAATCAAGCAGTCCCCGCTTCACAACGCTCCGAGCAGAGTCTCCAGCAGGGTAAGTAGTGCTCTGCTGACTCAACGCACCTCCTGCTGTTCTCCATTTTACCTCTGTCAGCCTGAATAGATACCCAGAAGAAATGGAGGTGGCTGTCATTGCGGGGCCTACCTTGTGTTAAGACATTGCTGACTCTTATGGGGAACATCTATCCCCTGGGTTGTCACAAATGGCACAAACACACCCCCCCTCAAGTGCAGACCCTGAAAACACCATACATTTTCTGCATGCATAGTGTCTGGCTCGCAAATCTGAGGTAGCTTTTAACAACTTTGTGTTTGGCAAAGCTGTAAAGACACCAAGAAATGATGAATGGTCACCATGCCACATTGACAACCCGTCCCCTCACCACAGATGGAGCATGGCAACTGCATGTGGCCGTCCAGGTTTGCTGCTCTGTGTGAAAGGAGGTGGCCACAGGAAGCAGACAGGGAACACGAGCCTCTCACCCAGTGATCTCATCTTCCCCTCAAAGAGCTGGGCCTGCACCACCCAGAAACTCAGAAAGCTGAACCTTGATTTCATGGACGTTAAGGGGGACTATGAGTTTTCATAATGGATGCCAAAGAAAAATTCTGAGGAAGGTAGAAGGATTTAGGTTCAGCCTACGCAGCCACAGCAGTGGATATGGGTTGGACTCTGCCTTCCAGATTGCATTAAGGGCGACACCACCCAATGGGTCAGAGGTCACTTTCCCCCTCCTCTGTGGCCAAACATCAGTGGCAGAGAAGTGTGACATCCAGCACAGGATGAAGAAGAGGGACGTCACACTAAAGAATAAGAATGTAAGGGAGATGCGCAGGTGAGATGAGGGGCTGAAGGAGATGCAAACTCACCAGAACTTAGAGATGAGACGTTGGACTCGGAGAAATCAAGAAAACCTTAGGATGGTCTCCCAGAAGCAGAGGAATGGAGGGAGAGATGGGATTTTCTCCCAAGAGCAGAGGCCCTCAGAGAGCCTCAGACACAGAGAGGGAGACTTTGTTTGGGAGAAAAACTCTGAGTGTGCAGATTAATGGGATGGTCCATATTCCAGGAAATTAATAAAATACCCAAGTATGGTCTGGTAGGATCTTTGAGTCATAGTGAAAAAGAAATCCCATAACAAGATCTCTAAAATCAATTCATCCATAACTCATTCTAAACTACTAACAACTGGTTATAAATGTAAATTAAGTGCTAAAACTTCTAGAAGAAATATTGGGTTAGTATTTTGTAGAATTGTAAATATTCAGTGCATTTGAAAAAGATGAAAGAAGAAGATAACATACATCACAAATGATGAAAATGGAAAAAATATTTAATAAAAAGAAACAGAAGCATACTATTTCTGGACTAGGAGGAAAAACAAGGTAAACTTTCCAAAATAATAATCAGTTTGAATTTCTCACAGTTAAGCTTCATGAAGGCAGAGACCATTTTCACCTTATTCATGTCTACATTTTTAGTTACTCTGCATAGTGCCTCAAAAATGCTAAATATTTAATACTTGTTAAGAAATGAATAATTCGATGAGAAGGGACAAAGAGTACCTTTTGGGGGGCATGTAAGAAAATAATTGTAAAGTTCACATACAAGAAGAAATCTACGCAGATTCAAGATGGTTTTCAAGTGGAAGAAGAATCTAAGAGGATTTT